TAGACTCAGTCACCATGACAGCACGCCTCTCTGGATGGCGTGCTCAGCTAATGCTGAACTATCTAAGAGAGTTCGACAGCAAAATAGTGGTCCCACTGAAATCCTTTTAGAAGCTCCTGGGGCATTTGGCATCCACAGCCGCTGTCATGCTGCTCAGATTACTCCATATGAAACCACTTCAGCACTGGCTTCACGACCCTGTACCCAGACGCGCATGCGGGCACACACACAGATTCACTGTTACTGTGCTGTCACCGCACCCTTAGCTCTTGGAAAGATCCCTCGTTCCTACAGGATGGAGTGCCTCTGGGACAGGCATTCAGTCATGTTGTTGTTTCAAAAGATGCTTCCAGCACGGGCTGGGGGGCGGGCATGCAGCTGCGGGTCTGTGGAAAGGAACCCTCCGGAATCAAACAGAGCTAAAATTGCTGCGAGCCATTCACATTCCAGGTTAGCTCAACCGTGCAGCTGACACACTCTCACGGCAGCCTTTACGTCCTGGAGAATGGAGACTCCACCCCGGGTCTGTTCAGCTGATATGGGGACAATTTGGGGAAGCCCAGATCGATCTGTTTGCTTCCCCCGAGAACGCTCATTGCCAGTTGTTTTTTTCCCTTACTGAGTGCTCTCTCAGCACGACTGCACTGCCCACAGCTGGCCTCGGGGCATGCGCAAATATGCGTTTCCCCCAGTGAGCCTGCTTGTGCAGCTAATGTGCAAGGTCAGGGAGGACGAGGAGCAGGTCTTGCTAGTTGCACCCCTCTGGCCCAACCAGACCTGGATGTCAGAACTCTCCCTCCTCGTGACGGCCCTCCCCTAGCAGATCCTTTTGAAAGAGGACCTACTCTCTCAGGGTCAGGGCACCATCTGGGACCCACACCCCAATCTTTGGAACCTCCACGTGTGGTAGTTAAACGCTAGGAAGACTTGGGTAACCTACCGACTGCAGTGGATAATACCATCACTCAGGCTAGAGCCCCCTCCATGAGGAACGCTTACACCCTGAAGTGGAGTCTATACACTGAATGGTGTGTCTCTCGCAGAGAAGACCCCCGAACATGCCCGATCAGCTTTGTGTTTTTTTTCCTCCAAGAGAACCTGGAGAGCAGAAATGCTATATTGCATCGCCATAATGATTGTCCCTTGGCGGTGAGTATCAGTTTCTTCAGCTTAAAAAGGATGCCCCAGCCTTGTTCTTGCTGTGCTTATATTGCTAATTTCATTGCAACAAGCATCAGCTTCACTGAAATCTGTTAATTAACAGTCTCTGTGATTCACAGGTGCTTTCCGTTAATTTATGGTTATTATTTGCACTATGGGACCTTGATCTCTGCTCTGTTGACTTTTATCAGATAGACTTTTCTTGACTTTTTAGTAGTTTGAAACAATGTTTTGTGTAAGAAATAATCAGCCCAATCTCATGAGGATGCATATTTTTTAACTCATCCATTCATTTTCCTTTGCCTAAGTCCCTTTAATCATCAAGGGTGATTGGAATGAACCGCCAACAGCATATTTTTTACAGTTTCCAGCTTCAACCCACTACTGGGAAACACCCAAAAACCCTCACCTCTCACTGACAAAGGTCCAACATTGCTCCCACACTGTGAAAAATGCAGGGTTATACACAATTCATTCATTTTGCCCTAACACAAATTAATTAGGTTAACTTAACACTTTTTACAAATTTAAGTGTATTGAACATAACAAAAATAAGTTTTCCCTAAGAAATCTCAAGAATTGTTTGAACGTGCAAAAAAAAAAAAAAAAACATTTTTATGAGTGCATACCTGTACATGAGCTCATGTGTCCTATTTTGACTGCTATGCCATAAAAATAGTGAAAATAACTCATCGAAAAAAGGTTTTACGTCCAGGTGTAATCCGGGGTCGCCACAGTGGAATGAACCACCAACTTATCCAACACATTTTTTATTCAGCGGATGCTCTTCCAGCCGCAACCCATCTCTGGGAAACATCCACGCACACATTCACACACACACGCACACTACGGACAATTTAGCCTACCAAATTCACCTGTACCGCATGTCTTTGGACTGTGGGGGAAATCGGAGCACCCGGAGGAAACCCATGCGAAGGCAGGGAGAACATGCAAACTCCACACAGAAACACCAACTGAGCCGAGGTTCGAACCAGTGACCCAGCGACCTTCTTGCTGTGAGGCGGCAGCACTACCTACTGCACCACTGCCTCACCCGGATTAAAATTCAAAAGCATTAAAAAAAATAATAAAATAAATGATTGTTATTTAGTTTTACAGTGCATTTTGTCATTTATTTATTTTCATTTTTTTTTCCCTTCACTTTGTCAATTGTTGAAGTTCTTTTTTTCATTGCCCCTGTTGCCACTGGCTTGCTCGGATTGGACTTGTGGAGCTGCACATAGATAGATTTGCTCTTCAGTGTTTGAACTTTCAGCAGTGAAATTTAAACTACACTGAACTTAACTGAACTGAACTTTACTCTGAAATCTGGACTTTACCAGAACTACAGTATGTTAAGATGCTTTGACAGTCTACATTGTAAAAGCGCTATATATAAATAAACAAATAAACATGAATTTATGTAAGGTTGGTTGCATGTTACTTCTTTAACCACAGTAAATTCTCTCATATTTATTAATATCGATTCATTCATTTTCCATGTATTAGGGATTGCCAAAGCGGAATGAACCACCAACTATTCCGGCATATGTTTTACACAGTGAATGCCTTTCCAGCCACAACTCCTCACTGGGAAACCCAAATACCCACACTCACACACACACACACACACACACACACACACACACACACACACTCACACACACACACACACACACACACACACATACTCACACACACTCATACACTATGGCCAATTTAGTTCATTCAATTCTACTAATTCAACTAACCCAGGTGGGCTCGAACCAGTGACCTTGCTGTGAGGCAACAGTGCTTAATCGCAATGAGCATATTTATATGTATAAACATTTTTAAACATATTTATTATTATTATTATTATTACATGTTAAGAAGTTAACAACTAAGAAGTTAATTGTCAACACCATAGTCATTGCGGTTAAACAGTTTGGACAGGATGTTTTGCCTTTTTTTTCTTTCCAGTCAGCAACTTCTCTTATCTCTCAGTGGATAATGACCAGTCGAATGACTGAAAACTATTGGTTCATAAATATTCCTTGTCATTTGGATGAGAACCACCTGGACTGCCCCCAGCTCTCAGTACAATAATGCCAAGCCTGTTTCTCAGATGAGAGCTTCAGAGTGTGAGGAGGCACTTTTTGTTTACTCTGAAATTTTTCCAGGGTGCACAAAGACCTCCATGGCTTCCACAAGTATCTGAGATTGCACCATGTAAACAGGTTTCTCCAACTCTTTTGGATCCTAGAGCTTACGCTGTTCTCATAATCACTTATCCCATTTTAATTACAACTGCCTGACTAAAGATTTTCCCTTTCTCTTGTTTTCATCCTCTGTATTCATGGACTATGCAGACAGATTGATCAACATCTTTTTTTTTTTTTCTCAATATTAATTAATTTTTTTTTTTCTATTCATACTGGTAAAAGTGCAGATTTGTCCAAACTTAATTGCCATAATGATCCAGACTGGTTTTGAATTGTTAAGCCTTTAGGTCTGCAGCTATTCTGTTTACCTGCAATTGTTTTTGTCAAGTAAAGCAGCCTTTCTGGTGAAGTTGAATAACCAAGTCATGCTGGGTAATTAACACTATAACTGCACAGGCAGTTATTTTGAATGTAAATCTGCTAATATAAAAGCCATATAACTAAAGGTTTTGCTATCTGTTATTGCTATTTTATTAAAATTACGAAACACAAAAGAGTTTTGAGTATTTTGACCTTAAATGTCCATAATGGTCAGATTGACCTTATGCATTTCAGTGTCAACTACTTTTTTCTGAGCCTTTGAATTTGCATGCCTCTGTTGCATAGCAACATTCTGCTAACATAAACTTAACTTTATCATAGCTAAAAAAATAAGATTTTCACTGCAACTTTGCTCTCTTGCTTGCTGATTTGCTTGCTTGATTTTTCCATCGTTAAAATAGTAAAAGTGGATTTGCACACACCCTTAATGCTTTTGCGCCGTGCTCTTTGGACTGTGCGCCTGGATCGTCAAAATAGAGCCCAGAGTATTGGGTGACTGAAACCGAAACTATCTGAAATTCCTACCAGAGTGAAGATTTTCCAAATCTCTGGGTAATCTGGGTGTGTGGACACTACAATTGGAGTTTTAGCCTCATGATGTCAGCGTGTGTTATGCTTTGTTCTTTCTGATTGGCCAACATGGCATGACATTAAACATGGAAGACCTGAATGAGCCAAATTATTTTCATTCTGCATATTCTGTGTCGTTTAGACCACATGATGGTAATCCGTTCTCCCATTTGCATTGACTTGTATGCAATTTACTCATGAAAATACTTCATTCTTCATTTGGTGTAAACTCAGCATAACAGTGTAATTATCTTTGCCTGTTGGTTTAGCATTTTCATGTGGATAGATATTTTTTTAAATATTAAAAGCAGGAAAAACTCCCATATCCTCTTTTTATCTTTTTCTTCTCTTTCTTTTATGCAAGTTGTACATTATCAGCACAAATACTGTTTAAACATGATGAAGATCATGATGATGATAATGTTGATGAACTTGATGGCAAATGTATGTTCTGGATCAAAATGTAATTTTTGCTATGTATGTTTATATTCATATAAATATCCATATCCATTCAAATGCATGATAAACTGATACATGAATATATTTTTTTACATATACTGGATAATGACACCTAGTGCACAGCTCGCTTTATTGATGTGCTGCTTTTCAACAAGCATGTGCCACTTTTGGGGAATAACAATCACTCTGTGGGGTGTCATGATTGCTACCTTTTTAAAATTCTGATTTGCAAGTTACACTTTCTTCATTTGCTTCTCTTCTCTTCTCTTCTCTTCATCTCTGCAGGGCTAGTATTGTTCAGAGGAAGATCATCTCATTCCAGGATGAGGGCTCACTCACGAAGCGGATGTGTGAGAAAGGTGAGTCTTTCATTACTCCCAGCTAGATGGTTTGGTACATTACAAGCAGCTCATCTTTGACATGTTATTTAACAGTGAAAAGAGTCCTGCTCTCTTTCCCCCAATTCTGCTTCTTGTATGCCAGTTTCAGTTTGAGCTTTGGTTGTTTCACATGCCTGATTGTTACAGCATTCATTTTAAGCAACCATATTATATTAAAGATGCAGTAGGTGATTGTTTTCATTTATTTATTTATTTTTTATTTATTTTTTATTTTTATTTTTTTTGTGCTGGTCAAAAGTCTGTTCACTTTCCAACAGTACTGATTAAAGTAAATCATCCAAATGTAAAACCTTTTTAAAATCCTGAATCAATATTGGAGTTACTTTTGCACGCTGGAGGAAGGATGACAGCATGGCTAAAGTATTTATTTTAGAAATGTTATGTTTTAAAACTATTTTAGGTACACAAAGCCCATGTAGATTTTGTTGTTTTACGTATGCACTATTTGCACGGAAGTGTTGTTCAGCCACTGAAATATTCAGGCGAAAGATTGATGTGACTATATTTAATTTCATAAGATACCTTTTACAGCATCGATAATGTAGATTTTGATTTAGTTCAACAACAAAATATAAATAATTAGCGCAATTCCACCTAGCCTGCTTTACTGAAGGTAGGTTGGTTTTATATTCACATAAGATTGGTTAATTTTCGAATGGCGTCAACATATGATGCAGCCCCTATATTTATCGTGCTACTTTAAAAAGTCGGTCTGAAATAGCATGTTAAGTATGGCTTAGCATATGGCTTTCTAAGCATATAATCACTTTAGTACAAATCACATGAGAGAGAGACACCAGTGCTCCATGCATGCATGAAATATTGCACATTATAAAATAAGGGTACGTGAGCTGTCACTGGGGTGGTACCTTTTGAAAACTACAAATTTGTACTTAAAATGTCCATATTAATGCCTCAAGGGTACATATAAGTACCTAAAGAGTACAAAAGTGTTATTTTTAAAATTTGTAGGTGCTACTATATACTTTTGAGATACCAACCCCAATAGCAAAGATATCTGGCCCAGATTTGGCATAGCAGGCAATTGTCCGGCACTGACATACAGCACGTGGGCCAAACATGGCACAGGTTTGGCCGAGGTGCCACCGTCTTACAGCCGGCACTCAAGACTGGGGCCAGATATCAAATGTAGTGTTTGGCCCTGATGTTAAAAGTGTATATGTTGGCCACATAAGTTTGGTCTATCTTGACCCACTTTTAAAATACGTTTAAATTATATTTCAATTCAATTCAATTCAGCTTTATTTGTATAGTGCTTTTGCAATGTAGGTTGTGTCAAAGCAGCTTCACATAAATGGTCATAGTAACTGGATCAGGGTAGTTCAGTTTTTAGTGTTTAGGTTCAGTTCAGTTTAGCTCAGTTCAGTGTGGTTTGAAGTCATTATTGAGAGTCCAACACTAAAGAGCAAATTCATCGATGAGTAGCTTTTCATATCCTGAACCATGCAAGCCAGTGGCGACAGCAGAGAAGGAAAAAAAAAAACTTCACCAATAGGAGAGTGAAGAAAAAAAACCTTGAGAGAACCAGACTCAGTTCGGCACAACCATTTTAATTTCTCCGCTGGCCAAAAGTCTTGTGCAAAGCTGCAGTCTCAGCAGTGGAGGCTGGAAGCTGGCCTCAGCGAAGACTCGTCTGTCCCTGGAGCGCCACTGGAATCAGTCTAATACTCTCCACTCCCCCATGACCAACAGCGCAGCAGCAGCTCAGGATACGGCCTGGTCCCGGATATGGACACCTTGGGATCATCTCATCGCTGGTCTTGGGTCCAATCAGTGACTCCGCATAATCTGAGGACCTCGGGATGAGTATCCCCAGGTGGAAATGGAGAATAAAGAGAATAATTAGCATAGCTGCTGTTCATAGTGTATGTAAACAAGATGTAGAAACTTTTGTGGAAACCCGCTAGGTGATGCATTGAGTGTATGCTTTACTAAACAGATAGGTCTTTAATCTAGTTTTGAACTGAGAGAGTGTGTCTGAGCCTCGGACAATATCAGGAAGGCTATTCCAGAGTTTAGGAGCCATAAAGGAGAAGGCTCGACCTCCCTTACTCGACTTTGCTATTCTAGGAACTACCAAAAGCCCTGAGTTTTGAGATCTTAAAGAGCGAGCTGGATTGTAGCGAGACAGAAGGTTGGTTAGATAAACAGGAGCTAGATTATTTAGAGCTTTATAGGTGAGAAGTAATATTTTAAATTCAATACGAAACTTAACAGGCCGCCAGTGTAAGGAGGATAAAATTGGGGTGATATGATCATATTGTCTAGACCTGGTAAGAACTCTGGCTGCTGCATTTTGTACTAATTAAAGTTTGTTAATAGAGGATGCTGAGCGACCAGCAAACAGTGTGTTACAGTAATCCAGCCTAGATGTCATAAAAGCATGGACTAGCTTTTCTGCATCTGAGATGGATAGCATGCTTCGTAATTTAGCGATATTTCTCAGATGAAAGAAAGCTGTTTTTGTGACATGGGATATATGGTTTTCAAAAGTTAGATTGCTGTCTAATATGACACCCAAATCTTTTATAGTAGAGCTAACGCTAACTTTGTGTCCCTCTAATTGTAGATTGAGTTGCGAGATCTGCTGTGTACAGGATTTAGGCCCAATAAGTAATAATTCTGTTTTGTCTGAATTTAAGAGAAGAAAATTGTTGCTCATCCAGTCTTTAACATCTCTAATACACTCAGTTAGCTTAGAAAGTTCAGACATTTCATCAGGTTTAGTCGAAATATATAAATGAGTATCATCTGCATAGTGGTAAAAGCTGAACCCATGTCTTCTAATAATGTCTCTCAGTGGTAGGTATTTAAGTAAAGAAAAAAATATCAATCGGATCGTTCAAGAAAAAGCACAGCCATAAAGTGAAATGCTTATGAGTTTATAAAAAATATTGCAGTCGTAACACACCAACATATCAGGCTCAGTTCAGGCCCAGTTCAGGGTTATTAACTTGGCTGAGACTTGGCCCAGATATGGTCCATGTTTGCCTCTTGTATGGAAGCCAGTCTTGGTCCAGTCATGTACCGTAATTCACTGCGACATGTGGGCCAAGCAAATGTTGATGGTACAAATGTGTAGCTTTTGAAAAGGTACCACCCCAGTGACAGCTCATGTACCTTTACTTCTAAGAGTGTAGCTTGTTACACAACTGAAAACATGCTAGATTTAATAGTATTTTATTCAGAATTGTAGTATTATAAAGTACTATAAAGTTTTCCAACTGGCGAATGACATGATCTAGTGTGTTGTCTACTGTCATCTTTACCCAAGCGGAACTCCCTGGAGAGCCACATGTGCAGAGCTGAGCTCCAGCAAGGGAGAGCCTGAGCTCCAGCTCCTCCTTGCTGCACTTCTTCTACAAGTGATGTCACTGCGGTGCGCGTTCAAGATTTCAAGAGGCGTGGCTTTGAACGGCAGGGGAGGGACTGTGTTTTCAAAGCTATTATGGTAACTGTTAGCATTTTAGCAGATCACCTATTGCACCTTAAATGTCCTAGTAACTTAAGTTAAAGTTGCAAAAGGCAATCTTGGAAAATGCTAACATTAGCCTGATAGCATTAAAAGCCTATGAACGATCTTGCAAATTGCCAAACAAAATCCATGACTTCTGAATGCATGCTCACACAGTAGGCAACATCACATAACATTTATCAAAAAGAAAACAGAAAGTTAAAAAAAAAAAAAAAAAAAAAAAACAAGCCATTATACAAAATGAGATGATACAATTAAGCTTTGGTCAGATCACATGATTTTGTCACGCTTTTCTTGACGTAGGGTATTGTGAGGAGTCATAAACGACAAATGGGCGTCGTGACTCAAGATTCACTTATTTCTTCTTGTGATATGTGGCATAGTTCACAACAACTGATACCATGTCTACGACGCCTCATGACAAGATTGCAGAAAGTCTAGCATATTTAAAATAATTTATCAGTTAAATCTTTGGCTGCCGTTAATACAAGCTTAAAGTAAAGTTAATCTAGCTTAAAGTAGAATATTCAGTTTCAGGGAAAACTTTTCTTTTTTTATGACAAAATCATCCATTGCCAGTGAGTTTCCACGTAATTCATTCAATCAAGTAATTTGAATAAGCAAGACAGGTTTTTACAATGTATTAGCAGCACTGAAGGTGCTTCCAGATTACCTTGAAAGAACAAACTCAGTCGAAAGGCTGAGAGAAGTTGCTGTGACAATGTCAATGTTTTGTAAAGAGACTAAGCTGAAAAGAAAATGAACTAATAAATAAACAATAATTTTTGTAACATTTTAATTTTTTTTTCTTTTTTAAAGATATTTATATATTGCTTTATAACCTGTGTGTATTAAGCAATCTGTAAGTGATTAAGGTGCACAACTAATGCACTCTGCGCTGGATTTTAGATCTGCTTTCAGCTTGTCTATTGCAAAGTCTATTTTAGCTCCTCAAAATAGCAATATGCCAACAATGCGCCATAACACACCTCTTTTCAAGACCGAAGCACCCATCACTCCACAAATAGATTTGCTATTTAAATAACTTGGCAGACACTGACAAAAGTAAGGTTGCGTTGATCTGAAAATAGCAACACGTGAGGGAAACAAGTCTTGGGCCTATTGCACCGGGTGTATGATAGGGCCCTCCATGTTTGATGTTCTTTTTTATATGATAATTGTTTTTTTTTTTTTTTTTTTTTTTTTTTTTTTTCTTGTTCTGTGGAAGAATGATATTTCCTATCAATCTACTTGATTCTTTCATATGTGTAGTGTTAAATGTTAACACACCGACATAGCGTTTCCATGCTAATAATGATTGTGTGGACATGACAATGTTTGGATTAAGCTGAAGAGAAAAGTGAACCAGTTCATTTAAATGTATTATATCTAGCCAATAATCAGATTTGTAATTTTTTATTTTTATTTTTTTCTATCCAACCAAATGGTCATGTCATGTCTAAAGGATCTAATCTTAATAGTAAATTTGTCATTTTAACAAGAACATAATATTATTTTGACAAGATACTTGTCATTTTAACACAAACAATATGCTGTTTTAATTAGCTAATTTGACATATTTTTGTTATAAGAATATATATCTTTTACGACGATTATGACATAATAAGTGAAAAAAAATGTGTGTGACAGCAACGAATCAGTGTTTACAGACTTCATTTATAAAGAGATTCTGTTGATGGATAGATATATACAATCATAAATAACAGAGGATGATAAATAAATAATTCTAATTATTCATGTGTCCTCTCTTGTCCTTTAGAATCGCTGTATGGAGAAACCACAGACAAACCCCTGCTGGACTGCTGCGCCTGTGGAACTGCCAAATACAGAGTCACCTTCTACGGCAACTGGTCAGAGAAATTGCACCCAAAAGACTACCCAAGTAAGACACTGTGTCCTCAATGACATGTAAAGTGTGTAATTTTTATTTTCAATGTTAAAATACTTTTTCCTATCCCAGTTTAATGTGCAGAGACAAGAAAAACTAAGCAATAGTGCAGTACAATCAAATTGTGCACGTTTTAAATGAGGTTTTCTGGTACTTTTCTAAATAGAGATGGAGACCTTTTGCTTCATGCATGCTAATGCAATAGGAAAGCAAATTTATTTACTATAGGAGAGGCCTGTGGATAATTAAGGCCCTGTTTTCACTTATACGCTTTAAAATGGTGTTTTAGAATGAAAATGATCCACGTCCACATTGCCGTTTCACCTAGCATTTCTAAAAAGATCTTGTCCACACTATACCACTAAAAACCAAGATCACATGACCATACACACACTCATGCGCTGCAGCATATGCAGATGTCTGAGCCCCAGGCAGTCAGTGGGTGCTTTGAGCACACCTTCCCAGGTGAGAGCAGCACATGTTGGAGAGTTCATCAAGGATATACCCCTGGATCTTATCTCACTATTCCTAAACATGATATTTAAGTCATCTTGTCTCTATCTAATGATTCTTTGGTCTTTTGAATCTAGTACTTGTTCTCAGGTCACATGTTTTGAGTGCAAAGATAAGGTAATATATCAATTTATGTAACCCCGTGCAATGATTCTGTACATTTGATTGATTGTTTGCATTTATTTCCTATATTGTATAAATGTATTGTGCATTTTACTTTTATAATGCCCATTATTGATTATTAAAACAGAAGAAACAGTTTTTTTTTTTTTTTGTAGTTTTAATGAAAGTGAAGAGAGGCAGTTATGTTATATAGGCTCCATTTTGTTATAAATATGCACACAGTGAAGATGACGATCGTAAAAATATGTAGCTACATGATGCCTTAACATTTTTGGTTTTTGGTCTTAAGTTGTTAGTATCAAAATGAAAATAGGCAGTTCCTTATATGTTTTATATGGCCCCATCTGTATATAGCTTTTATGCAGATGGAAAAAAAAAAAAAAGGCAACAGTATTATACACTACACCTCCCCACTCGACAACCCAAAACTGAATCTCCCTCTGTGAGCGGGCTTGACCAACCATGTGTAGAAAACACACCCTTTCATCTCTCAGCTACTTTAACAGACATGTTCATTAATTTTGCACCATACACATTCTTACAATCGGCACAAAAAATAAATAAATAGTAATGATTTAAAAAAAAAAACACTGTGCATTTATGAAGTGTACTTCACACAGGTAAAATGGGATAGATATACTGTTAAAACACTTTTTGCTCTGTGTGTGTGTGTATATAAGGTCATCAAATAAAATTTTACTGCAAATTCCTCGGTCGCGACTTAAACTAAAAGGAGATAGAGCCTTTGCAGTCACTGCTCCACATTTGTGGAACCAGCTGCCACCGGATATTACGAGTACTTCTTCTCTTTCTATTTTTAAGTCTAGACTTAAGACACATTTTAATCTATTGGATTCCCAGGCTTTCAATCTTTATTGTGATTGTTGCTGTAATACTTTTATTCTTGTTATTACTTTTATTGTTATTTTTACTGTTTTAGAGTGTGTGCTTTAGTTTTGTTCAGCACTTCGGTCAGTGGCAAACTGAAGTCAATGTGCTTTATAAATAAACTTTACTTACTTACATATATATATATATATATATATATATATATATATATATATATATATATATATATATATATATATATATACACTCTTTGCTCTCTGTGTGTGTGTGCATGTGTGTGTGTGTGTGTGTGTGTGTGTATATTTTCATTCATTTTCTTGTCGGCTTAGTCCCTTTATTAATCCGAGGTCGCCACAGCGGAATGAACCGCCAACTTATCCAGCAAGTTTTTTTACACAGCAGATGCCCTTCCAGCTGCAACCCATCTCTGGGAAACATACACATTCACACACACACTCATACACTACGGACAATTTAGCCTACCCAATTCACCTGTACCGCATGTCTTTGGACTGTGGGGGAAACCGGAGCACCCGGAGGAAACCCACACGAAGGCAGGGAGAACATGTAAATCCACACAGAAATGCCAACTAAGCCGAGGTTCGAACCAGCAACCTTCTTGCTGTGAGATGACAGCACTACCTACTGCGCCCCTGCCTTGCCCTATATATATATAGCACATTTGTATATATATCCTTTCCCTTACTCTAGCAGCTAATTCTCTGAGCACTAGCAGTTCTTTTGTATGATAATTAGCACTTATTTTGTGATGTGCTTGTTCATGCTGATAGCCTCCTTAATTGTAATTCACTTTAGACAAAAGCATCTGCTAAATCAGTAAATGTAAATTATGCAAGTTGCAAACCACAGACAGAGCACCTTACAAAAAGTATTTACTTTCAGTAAAGTTACCATTAACTCTTTTCAAGAAGTCAAAAAATAATAATAATAATAATAAAATAAAAATAATGCATTAAATAGAATGAGCAAACAAAGTCCCTTAGTATCCTAGCCATTGTGTGGTGTTGGTTTTCCTTATCTGGATTATGCACAACTTAATGAACTATTCACACAGAATGTGTCTTTTTCCATACCAATGTGCTACTTTCCCATTGTTTTCCCATGAACACACACTTGACAGATGTGGGTGACTTATGCGCGTCTTGCAACTTTTACATGTAGATTTGTTCATCAATTTCAGTTCCAAAGCAGTTGACCAATGACACAAACTCATATACTCGTAATAAATAGAAAAAGCAATCAATGAGGATTGAAACTGAAACCTGGATTTTAAATCAAAACAATTCATTAGTATGGTGTAGGGCTTCCTTCTGCGGCAAATACAGTCTCAATTCCTATAAGGAAAGACACATGCAAGTATAGCGTAGTGGCCAGAGGAATTTTAAGTCATTCTTCTTGCAGAATAGTGGTCAGGTGGAGGAAAGCATTTCCTTACTCGTTCCTCCAAAACACCCCAAAGTTACTCTATAAGATTGAGTAGCACATTGTCCATAGCCGAAGATTGCTGCTGCTGGGATCACTGAAACCAACATGTCCAAAGGTGTGGCTAGTGCAGCCCTGTCATGTATATTGACCCAGTGGAGCCCCCAATGAACAGTTTTAGTGGCATAAGGATAGGTGAGGTGCACATTTAATTCTCCAATAAGTTTGGACAGCTGTAGTTTTATGTTTTTCGGATACAATCTGGTTTGGCACTCAGACATCCTTTTCAGATAGTTTCCTCTTGAATCCACAGTTATTTCTGTTGAATGTGGTTCGTCCTTGGTGGTATGCTGAAATTAACCTGGATGAAAATACCATGGATACTGTGGCTCTTATTACACACCACATCACAAAGTCTTGCTGTCTTGGTCACAGATATGCCAATGAGATGCGCACCAACAATTTGTCATCTTTTGAACTAGAATATGCAGTGGTTTAAAGTAACAAATTACAAATACTTCAACAATTGTAAAAGAGTATTATTATTTTTTTTTTTTCTCAGGAATTTAGTGAGTAGTTAAAAATGTGTTCCTGAAATTTCCCTTGAGTACATATTTAGTGCTGTATCTGCACTTTTATTACACCACTTTCCTTCAACCTGCAGACACATTTTTTTTTTGTCTATGGTGATTGGCTAAAGTACAAGAATCAGTCCTGCGATTCCTGTCCAATCAGATCGCACATAGAAAGTAAATCACATACTGAACCACCTCAAGACATGGGCGCTTTATAAATGCAGCAAACCTTTTGGAAGCAATAAAAATGTTCAAGAGTCCCAGAGACTTTTTAGATTGCATGTCAATGATGAGAAAATGAAAGATGTCATACAGTCGACTGAATGATGACTGAAATCACCAAACAACTTGAACGATCACTAAATGGAAGGAATGAAGAATGGAAGGAAGGGCTGAATGAAGAAGGGGCCAACAAATTTGTGAAAGGAAGGACCAAATGAAGGAATGAAGGACTGAACTAATGAATGAAGAAAGGACCAAATGAATGAAGGAAAGATTGAAGGAAGGACTGAACAATCTGAGCAAAGAAAGCAACAAACACATTAATAAATGAACAAAGAACCAAAAGAGGAAAGGAATAACAAAATAATGAAGGAAGGAATGATTGAGTGAACGAAGAAAGGAACAACTGAATGAAAGAACGAACTAACAAACGACTGCATGGATGAAGGAAAAAAGGACAGAACAATCAAACGATGGAAGGATGGAACGAACAAATATAGGAAGATCACTAAATGCACTACAGAATGTTAAGTTTACACATCCCCGCACAAACTGCATGTAAATGCATCAACGTTTCACTGTGTAATACTCACTACACACTACTCTTGGGAACTTTTCAAAGGGCTACTTTTTACTCATATTTTAGTAATATTTAAAACAGATACTTTTACTTTACTTGCACTATGTTTTTTGGCAAATAAAGGTACTTTTACTTGAGTATGACTTCCAGTACTCTTTTCACCACTGATAATGCAAATGCACATTTTGTTTGAATGGCCCCTATGACTTCAAGTTTTTTTGTTGAATTCAAATACAAAGTAAGATATGATCTCACACAGTCATGCAGATCAGCAAGCGACCACCTAGCAACAGAACCCCCTACTAAATGCATAAAATGTGCTCAGCAAACACTCTGAACACTGCAAGCAGTCTTTGGTCCCTCGAAAGCACCCTATTATTACAGCAACATGTTGTGCAATAGCAGCACTGGTGGTTTAAATCTCTACGCTCTTTGTACTCACAATATGCCTGTTGGGTTGTTGTACATTGTTCATCAGTTTGGATGTAAAATATGAAATCATTTCCTCATTATTTTCTCTTAGTGCCTGTCCTCTCCTCTTGTCTTTGGTAGTTGCTGTGTATAACCTTGAGAGTGTCTCATTGGGAGTAAATTAAGCCTGGGGATTAGAGTCACTCTCCACTTGAGCTTCAGCAGCTCAGATCAATACTCTGATTAGAATGTACTCTGGGAGCTAGATGAACCTGATA